CCTCATAAAAGAAGACATTTTATTTGTATTCCTTACAAAAATCACAAGCAGAACCCTTCCATTCCCACGTCTCACCGAAGAGATGTCATTTTTATTCATGTCATAAAGGCTAAAGGAGCTTTTTGAAAGGAATAAAGAGCTTATTGTCCAGCATCACTGTTCACAGTATCAAAAAGGGAAAGAAGAATTTGCCACTTGAAAGGCAGGACCAATCCATTGTAGATGATTTGCCAAAAGTTTACTAAACAGGGATTAAAGTTATATCAGCTAAATAAATATTCAATACTACATCAAGAGAACAAAGTTTAGTGTTGCCTGCATCACAGATATACACTATACCAAGTCATGGGGCACACAATGAAAAATTAACAATCTAGGTGCAGGTGTCAAATATCAACAAAATCAGTAAGGAATTCATAAATGGCTTTATTGTTAAAAATGTACAAAAGGATCACATGACTTAATGGTCATCTCTCAGTTGACCCATAGTAGAACTGTGCACACAAATTGTGTTTCAAGATTGTATAAGCATACATTTCCAGATGCAGCATAAACCGAGTTACTAAATGAGGATAGCCAGAAATTAATTAGTTTGAATATTTCTTTGATATTTATTCAAAACAAAAATAACACCAAGCTGGCTCCCACTCAATTTCACATTATTATTCAAAATATACAATTGATATAATTTGAATTGCATCAAACAGTGCAACAAAAATTACAAAGATAGAACTACCACCTGTTCTCACACATTCTGGTGTAGGTAAGAAGTGGGGTGATAACTTGCAACAGTCTACTGAAGCTAAACATTCATGCAGCAAAAAAAACCTACAGCAATGCAGCAGCCAGATGCTGCTCAAGCTTATTTGCATTCAGCTCATCCTCAGCTTGAATTTACAGAGGCGGGCAAAAACAAAAGGAGAAATTAAAACGAGCAAAAATAAAAGAAAAAAATTCAGCTACATGATTAAATGCAAAGTTTTAGTCAAAAAAATTAAAAATTAAAAAAATTTGGAGATTTAAAGAACCAGATTAAATCTTACCTTAACCTGAAGTTTCCAACGCAGTTTCCACTTCATAAAGAGAGAGGGAGGAGTGGGGGAAAAAGGGGGAAGGGGAGATGGGTGGGGAAGAAGCTCCCGCAAAAACCGGGGCTTTAAGCGTGTCCGTCTCTCTACTGGTCCGTTTGGAGCACCGCGCGCATGCGCAATGCACTGGTGGTCTCGTGCAGCAGCCATGCAGCTCCAGTGCTGCTGCTGCCGCGCAGGCGCAGCCACGGAGCCGACCCGCAGGGGTTGAAGGCGCTCCATAGGAAAGGGAGAGCAAATAAATGCAAAACCGCAATTAAAAGTCGGTCGACACACCTGGGGAAAAATAAAAGACGACCATATAAATGTAACGAATCGCTTACCTTTCGGATGCGTTAAGGCGTCGTTTCGTGAGGAGTTTCTTTTTTTTTTGGTTTTTTTTGTCCCACCCTGTTAAAAACCTTCACCATTTATCTACGATAACCTCACACCCACCCCCTCACAAAATGGCGGCCGCTCGTGGAGTGTATGCAAATTAGAAAAATATCGCTCATATGCAAATTAAGCAAAAAACGCATTCCGGGTGCATCTCACTTCAAAATCTCCCCGTGTGATTGTTTTTAAAATTTTTTTTAAAAAAGCGTAATTATGTATTTTTTGTGTGTGGAAGATAAAGTAATATAGCAGTGTGATCTCTACTCTCCCTCCTTCCTCCTCTCCCTCCACTGGAGTTGCTCGCTCTCCCCGCGCACCGCTTAAGGGCGGCAGCTCATTCTCGCCCCATCTCGGGAGCGAGATGAATATGCAGATAACAACGCCCGCATGCATACCATTAAGAACGTGGCTACCAATCAGCAGCCAGCGCGGGGGTGTTACATGCAAATCGCGGGTGCCTATATGCAAAACAGGGAGCCGCTCTCGCCCGGCGCACCCGAAGCAGGCGGTGGGCGGGGCGTATGTAAATATTGCGGACGGTCATTTGCATAACCGCCGTCGCTTTTTCAAAACCCATCCGTTGGCGCAGCGAAGCAGATGGTCACGTTCGTTGTTGATTTAGTCTCCTTTAGATTGGGTGGGGTTGGTGATCGTAGTGGTCTTCGGCGTCGTCGCGGTTCGTGTTGTTTTCAAAATTGCCCTTTGTAAACTGCATTTACCAAGTTTTCGGGCAGCTTCTGTAAGATTGAAATCCCTTTTGTATTTTGTTTAAATAGAAAGTGTTCTAGTCGGAAAAGAAGTTGTTCCTCGAACACTGCATTCTAAAAAGAATGCATTTCGACAACCCATTGTACTGGTGTTAAATAAACGCCCTGCATCGCTTGTTCTCTCAGCAGCGACGGTCGCTTGCAATTCTTTTTCCCACCCTTCGCCGCTTCCATGACTGACCGCCAGTGTCGCTGTTGAGTACAAAGGCGCTTCTGACAGCAAGAGTACGCGAGAATTCGTTACAGATGAACATGTTTCAAATACAAATCCTGACCGCTCCGGAGAGAGCTATGCAGCCTCCAAAAACATCTTTTCGTTAACCTTTGGATGTTTGAATTTTAAATACCTTGCAACTGTTTAACTGTGATAAAAACACAGTCTTAAATACAGGTATTTTTGAAAACATAAGCTACATTTAACAACGTAGCACTCCATTAGCCAGTGAAGTTAAGACTTTTTTTAAAATTCGGATGCCGGAGATCGGAAACAAAGGAAAATAGAAATTGCTAGAGGAACTCAGAACCTTCAGACCCTTTTGGAGAAGGATCACTGGACCCAAAACTGTTGTCCTTTCGTAGATGCTGCCAGACCTGCTGAGTTTCACCAGCAAGTTCTGTTTTCAGAGTTCTTTTTAATTTTTTCATGAATAAGATTAGTGGATAGATTGTAGAATCAGGGGCTGCTCTTAGAGAAAAGAGATTGAGAGGAACTTTGATGAAGGTGTTCATGAGGGATCTCGACAGGGTAGATTTCCACACTGTAGGGGTTCTATGGTTTTATATGGAGAAACTTTCAACTAGCTGGTACAAGGATTGAGAACCCAAGGGTGCCAACTGAGAGTTAAGTAACAACAATGCCATGTGGAAAAGCTTTTTTAAAAAAGACAATTTGTGTGATTAGAATCTAGACTGCAATGCCTGAAAATGTTGTGGAGCAGATCGAAGTCAAGTCTTCAAAAGATAATTAGATAATTTTTGGTGGGACTGGGGAGATAATTGCCGCCTATGGGGAAAGGCTGTGTGGTGGAACCAACTGAGTAGCCAGCACTGATGCAATTCTTCATCCTGTAACCTTCTATCGTTCTGTACCCCAGCCTGGGAGAGAGATATAGAATATCAAAAGGATACAAAATAAAAGAGATTGAAAAAGAAATGCAAAACAATTGCAAGGCTGGGGGTGGGCAATGATAATGTGCACTTTCTTAAAAGGAGGTCAGATGATACCACAATAAATATTAACAATGGTTAAAACAGTCATTCTTAAACAAGGACCAGTGGATCACTGGGAGATACTATTTGGTGGAATCAGTGAAATAAATGATTTGCAGCTAGGAACATGCAGCAATTTGATGACGATCACCTCAGTTATTGGCGACTGTTTCTGAGTATGTGGGGTATTGTTGATAATTGTCTGCAAACCAATGACAGCCCATCACTCTTAAGTGCTTTCTCACTTTGAACTTGCATTATACTCCTGTGAAAATATTTTGAATGCTGTCAGACTGGCTGATAATGACCAATGTGACCCATATCCAATGAAAAGTAGGAGATAATTTCTTAAATGTTATTTTTCCACAAGATCTTTCCTGTTCACCTGAATGGCAGCTAAAAAAATACTGGATACACAGCTGAGACAATAGAAAATTGTCTGCTTCATAATATCGAGAGTCTAAAGAAGCCATCTTGACAACACAGGCTGTGAGAGTACATTGATGTCTTGCACCTGGAAATGTTACAGCGAAGTAAAGCCAGTTGCTGTGGTTATCTGTAGAGAGAAACACAGTTAGCCTTTATTGGGAAGCACTGAGATAAGACTTCGCAGTTCTCAGTAGCTTAATGAGTTCTGATTCTACAAGGTGGAGTAGAAATTGGAGAATGATTTACAAGTGTCATTGTCAAACATCTCATTAAGCATAGGCTGACCTGGTGATGAGAAACAGGGGAAACAATCTCACCTTCATCCATAAGTAAATATCTTTTTCTTAAACATATAATTGGAACACTCTTTAAAGGCTGTACCTTCATGTTATTCTGTACTACAATTTAATTGGGAACTGATCATTAATCCACATCAAAAGATGTCCTTGCCAAAAAAATGTGACAGCTATTCCATTAGGGGGTCCAGTGGATTCAAGGAACATCCCACGTGCCTCAATGTAATTGAGAAATCAAATTACACATTTCTGGAAAGACCACTGATATCCAAAGGAATCATAAATAAAACAAAGAACTGCAGATGCTGGGAAGAGGGCATGATGGCAATGAGTGATGGGAAAGACTGTGCCTAATTACACTGTGGAGGGTGGGAATGGGAGAAGGGATCTGAGGGAGAGACGGTAGCTGATTACAGTGTGAGTTGGGAAAAGAACAAAGGGGTTGTTTACTTTGTGTGTATGGGTGGGGTGTGGGGAGGGGGATAGGAGTTGTATTTGTCAAAATAGCCTCTCAGAGCCTTTTGCCACCAGAGAATATGGAACTGAAGAAGAGTCATTGGACTCAAAACATTAACTGTGCTATCACCCCACAGATGATACCAGACCTGCAGAAATTTGCCAGCAATTTCTGTTTTCATTTCAGATCGCCAGCTTCTTCAGTTCTTTGTTTTATTTTACATTCTACATTTTTGTCTGTGTATTGTATGTTAGGCAATAAGACATTGTTCAGTATATAATTATGAATATTTATGTATTAAATATCAAAATATAATACATCCTACAAATACGAAAATCTGTTTATAAAAGTATTTTGTGAAAATGCTGTTATATTATGTACTGTCAATCATTATAAGCAAGTCAGATAAACTTTAGATTTTCCACTGAGAATTTCAAATGACACAAAATAATATTCTTGGATGCTGCAGATTCAGTTTGAATTTGCTACACACAATGTAGTCTTAAATCAAAATGAATTTAATTCACAAGGTAAGTAACTTAGCTAAACGTGGAGCTGTGCTTCTTCCAACTTGGAGAAAGTGGAAAATGGATGTGCTTCTGAATTGATAAACAATATACTATGCAATAGTTACTGGTCACTGAAGTTTCAACTAAACTTTCTATATTCTCTGGACTCTGGCAGAAGGCTCTGTGAGGCAACTTTGACAAGTACAGCCTTTCTCCCCCCTCCCACCCCCACCCACCCACCCAAACACACACACGCAGTAAGCAGCCCTTCTCTTCCTAACTCACACAGCAATCAGCTATTCTCCCACCCACAGAGATCCCCCCCACTGTAATTAGGTGTGCTCTCCCCCACCACTCATTGCCATCAGGCCCTCTCCCCTTTCCCCAGCACACACTATTATCGGTCCCTTTCCTCTTAAACCCACATATACACTATAGTCATCTGCACTCCAAACAGTTTATTCAGCCTCTTGTTCTGCCCATGCACATGATAATCAGCTGCACATCACCCCCACACATGGTAATCAGCCTTCCCCCTTACCCCACACAGTACATTTGGCCTCTATCTCCTCACACAATGTTGTTATAACTAAGGTTGGACGTGTTTAGTGATTCCTTCTTAGTCCCATTCCTCCAAACTTCATAATAAATTTCAAATTTAACCAAGTTGGTGATGTGGCCAAGTATATTTTTCTTGGAATGTGTCAGGTTCAGTATTAAGAGCAAATCAGAATTATTTAGTCTTGCAGTGATTGGAACTGGGGTCAGTTGGATCACATTAACTATGAGATCCTTGATTGGGGTTGTTAACCTGGGCCAATCAGGGAGCCCTGGCTGACAGATATAAACAGGAGATTCAGGTCTCCTTAGTCTAGGGATTGGCTTTGAGCTGGCTGGTCAGAGCTCATGTACTGTGCACATGTAAATAAAGGGTGACTTGGTGATGGTATACTGGCCTTCGGGCAGTTATTTCAAGTCTACAACAAATAACTGAGTTATTATCAAAACAAACATACTCAAAATAGATGCAAAAGTTATTGACAAACAGTTGAATTATGCAAACATATGTATGTATCAATTTTCCAAAGAAGCTAGCACACACTAACACTTTCCCAACTCCTTACCTTCACTTGACCAACCCCCATCCAACTCCCTACCTACACTCACCTGTACTAACTTCATCCCCGCCTCCTTGACCTGTCCGTCTTCTCTCCACCTATCTGCTCCATTATCTACCTTCAATCACCGCCTCTCCCTCTCTCTATTTATTTCAGAGCCCCCTTCCCCTCCCCCATTTCTGAAGAAGGGTCCAGACCGGAAACGTCAGCTTTCCTGCTCCTCTGATGCTGCCTGGCCTGCTGTGTTCATCCAGCTCCATACCTGCTATATCACACAATCTCAAGTATGAGGAGAAACAAAAAATGAAAACTCTGCAGAGTTTTAAGTTCACAGCACTTTGTCCAAGTTATAATTAAACATGTGAAACAGGATAAGTCCTAAATTGTCCCAAATAATGTTCTGATTCCAAATTTATTCTGCATGCAAACGTACTGCTGGCACTGTGTTGTGTCTCTGGAACAGTTGTAGTGGAATTCCCTTTGCCTCAGAGGGTTCAGAAGATTCTAAGAATAAAGAATGATTTATTTATTGTCACTTGCATTTTACAGTGAATAATATAGCAAAATAAAGTGAAAAGCTTCAACAGTCGCCACAACTGGGCATCATTTTGAATAGTTTGAGAATAAAAAGGATAAAAGATAAAACTGAAAGAGAGTCTGGAGCCCTGAGCCAGCTTCTCAATGACAGCTGCGCCGCCAACCCTCCTCCATCGCCTCTCACTGCCTGTGCTGGTCCCACCAACGTCGGAGTTGCCACTCTTTAGGCACCATCTCTTTGCCACTGATGCCGCCAGAGATGCCGGGACCTGTATTAAACTCACACTTGCCCTGCAACCAGGACTCCATAGTTCCGCTACCACCTCGATGATGCCAGGAATCCTCGGACTGGGCATACCATGCTGCTGCTGCTGCAGCTACTGCCTTGCTGATGCCAGGAGTCCCCGCTCTGGGACTGCTGCAACCAGGAGTCCCTGGCTCTGCTGCCAGATCTGGCAGGTTGCTGTCGCTGTCTTGCCGAGAGTCCCACTCCGGCTGCCCTGCTCCGAGATGTCGCCTTGCTGATGCTGCCATCTTGAAAAGTCCTCTGCCACAGCT